AATCTTAACAGGAAAGGGAAGTTGAAACAGGCAGATGTGGCTGAGCAAGACAAAAAGAATACTTTATCTGTTGTTGTTGTTTTTCAATATAGGGGAAACACAACAAAACTTGTCTCTTGAGACACCAGCCTGGTGAGAACAATGAATTCACCAGTCTGTGAGACCAGTTTAAACAACAAGCTTATGGGATCTGTGCCTGTATTCAACCCTATGATTTTCCTCTTTATGACAAACAGCACAAAAGACAAAAGAAAATAAGAATATTCATAACAAATCTTTGCCAGAGTCACTATACCAAAGATAGTTGTTCACACAAATATTTTCTCCTGTTAATCTAAATCTAGAAAAAGAAAAGAACTCTCCTTGCTCTTGTTGCCACCACATCCTGCAGGCAGAGATCTAGGACACTGATGTGGTAGGGACTCTTACCTTCTGCCAGAGCTTCCAGGATCTCTCAGCTGCAGCAGCCGTGGAACAAATGATGTCCAGCCAAAGGAGGGCCCCACACTGGGCGCCAGATTACTGGGGAGGAGAAACTTCCCTTTCATTCCTTATAGGTTCTTTGGTTGGTCTTGTAACTAAATTTTGACATAAGACAGATTAACAGGAGAAATACAAATTCGATTTTATACATATGGGAGCCCCACAAAGACGAAACTCAAAAGGCAGTCAGGCAATTGAGGCTTATATACTACCCTGAGCTAAAGAATAGGATAGGGGCCAGAGTTTCAAGGGGGAGGAGGGCAATTCACAGGAAGATGAGAAGAACAGATGTTTGGTAATCAGATGCTTGCCTTGCCATGCAGATGAAGCTTTCAGATTAAAGAAAAAATAAAGTTATCTCTGGTAAGAGCTCTTTCTGGTACAGGCCTCTAATCCATGCTCTTTTTGGCAGTTATGGAGGAGGTAAAAAACTACTCCTGAGTCTGCTGGGTCTTGACTGCCTTCACTTCAAGTAATCCACCTGCCAAAGTGTCACATTTTAGGGTACATATCCTGCTTCCCTTGAAATGCAGCCAATCACCACCACCAGACTCCTGTTTCTTATACAGCCTACTCATTTCTCTCTATCCAAACCACATAATTTCCAAGCAAATACCCAGATATCTTCTCTGATCTAAAAACTTTTGCTTATTTTTTTCATTTAAGGAATTTCTTTAAGTAAAACCCCAATATTACATTTTAAAAATAAACAGTAACTCCTTAATTAAATATCCAAAGCAATGTTGAAATTCTCCCCTCTCATGCATTGTTTCCCATTTTCTTAAACTAGGATTCCAAATAAGACTGAAATAAGATTCTTAAATTGTAATTTTCTAATGCTCCCTCAAGTCCACTTTATAGGTTTCCCAAAACTTGTTTTTCTTGCAAAATTTACTTGTTGAAGTAGTTATTTGTCCTATATCGTTTCCCACAGTCCAAAATTTGCTGATTGCATCCAATGATGTGAACTTGCTTTTCAGTCTCTTATATTTGCTGTAAACTGTCAGTGCTAGTGATATTTAGATTTCAATGAAATTCTGATGTTTGGCAAAGATATTTTTATAGGTGTTGATATATCTGCCATCAGGGCACATGTAGGCGATTATATCTCTTCATGTCACATTGGCAAGCCGTTAATGATCCTTGCCTAGATTCCTTGTTAAAAAGGTGATAGAATTCTAATCATTCCTTTCTTAGAAGAAAAGGCTGTATCTATATAGAGAAAACCTGTGGTCATCAACTATTTGTTTACCCTAGGGTACAGTTTTTACCAGAAAGGCAAGATACATGTTTGGTGCTTTTCCTGTGACACATTTTTCCTGGTTGATTCTGATTCCAATTCCTTGCTTCCAATTATGCAGTCCATCTCCTACCTCTGCTATGCTTTCCTCATACTGTCCCATCCTATTCTCACCCCTGGGTAGCACTTCAATGAATATTTAGAGCCAACAGGCTATGTGTAAAGGATATGGTAGGATGGTGAAATTATACTGTGGCACAAGACTGGACAGAAAATAGGAAATTGAGCATCATAATCCCTATTTTTAAAGAATTTTGAGTAATTATCTTTTTTATACTGCCACTTCATCCCCACTATTTCCGTAACCCTCACTAGTTTCTTTTTTTTTTTAATACACACTAGAGAATTTACCAGTGTTTTGATAAACAAAGGCAATTCTCACTTGTGTTTTGACTAATACTTTTTGTTTTTTTTCCCCTTCTGGGTAAACTTTTATAGTATGAAGGGTACAGAGGGCCCATAGAACATACAATGCTTGTGAATAAAGTTCTTTGATGGATTTCAGCAATCAAGTTATGAGACAATTTTGTTTACAAGGAATAGACTGTTAACTGGGTCCTAAAGGAACAGTCAAGGCATAGTCAGGGATATGACATAATTTCCTGTTGCTCAGTTTCTACAATCTGTAGATAAAACATTTTGAATCCCAAAATTCTTCTAGGGAAGTAGCTCAGGATACTGGTTAAGGGCACAGAGCCTAGAGTCACCTCTGCTAGTTTGAGCAAATTACTAAACCTCTTTAAATCCAAATTTTATTGGGAAGATGTTGTTAAGGATATCCTGTCTCAGGGAGGTCTATGAGCTGTTTCTACTTCATGTAATGTAATACAGGTAAATATCTTAATGATAGCTTATTAATATTAACGTATTTTTATTTTAATGAAATCAATAGTCTTATTCTCTAAAGAACATTTAAAGTCTTAGTGGTCAGACTTGTGAAATCAACATATATTCCTTTAGAGAATAACAATATCTGAAAATATAAGCCTCTTCTTATGACATGTTGATACTTATTGACCATCCTGGTATTTGTTTCATTTCTTTCCACTTTTCCCCATTTATCTAAGTATCTTCCTTTCTGCCTCATCACTTGGCCTCTTTAATACTATATCTATTGTTTCTCAAGCCCTGACCCACAAGTGACATATTTTCTTTTAAAAACTGTAGATATTTGAAGTGTAATTTTAAGGATTAGGTAAATACATGGTCAGAAATGCATCAACTCTTAAAAATAAGCAGTTATTAAATACTTGCAACCTAAGTAAATCATTATTTAAAATTAATAGGGGTGGTTTTCGCTTGAGCCCAATACGTGATCAGTCTAGCCCAAGAACTCATTACTTGGATGAACTTTGAAAGGTGCAACAGACTCACCCATATACACACATAAACATAACATTCACCAGTCTTAGTTGTACAATTAACATCTTATTTGTGGTAGAAAGCAAGTCAGTTCTGCATATTGACTTGTCCAGTCTGTATCAAAATCTTTAAACAAATTAGGTTAGAGAAATAAAGCTCTAAGAGCTTAAAATTATAGTAATGGGAAATTTGCCTTATTATCCTCATACTTGACTATCACTAAAAGTTAATCTAAATGCTAATGAGAAGGATGATGATGTCACTGTCTCCTCCCAATGAAAAAATGATATTGTTGTCCCATTTTATTACCAAGGCTATTTGATGCTTATAGAAAGCTTAAGAAACATGCCCAACATCATGAAAGATCTGGAAGCTTTAGCAGCTAGGATCTTAACTCAAGTCTTGTGATATTACACTCCTTATATCTAACCACCAATCAGCAGAACTTGTATTCTTGACATTACCAAAAGGTAAAATACTGAAAACACAACCTTTACTCCATGTTTAGAAGTAAAGTATTTTAGGGAAGGTTTATATTACCGTATTTCATTTGTAAACTACTGGGACTTTTTAGATCAATTAAACAGGAGTTGGGCAGAGGCGTATGACCTATAAAATTCTCTGCCCTGCTAATTTAAGAGCGGGCTTTAGTTTGACCTTTTCTCGCTGTCAGCCATTTCCTTATCCCTCTCCCTGTCGGTTATTCACATGACGAAGACATGGGGAGATGTTATTTACATCAGACGTGTGCGTGCAAAACCACTTCAGTCATGTCCGACCCCGTGCGACCCTATGGACTGTAGCCTGTCAGGCTCCTCTGTCCATGGGATTCTCCAGGCAAGAATACTGGAGTGGATTGCCATGCCCTCCTCCAGAGGATCTCCTTGACCCAGGGATTGAACCTGCATCTCTTATGTCTCCTGCATTGGCAGGCAGGTTCTTAAGTACCACCCGAGAAGCCCCACATCAGGCATAGTTTTAAATAGAAGCCACATTGACTGAAGGACTATTTGATATATTAGAGTAACTCTATATAGGTTCATGTAGTTTCCTTGCTTTTTCAATTTTCAATGACTGCTTTATATAATTCCTTTTCTGGAATAAGGAACAAAAGTTACTTAATGAAGAACAGTAATAAAACCATGACCATTTCAGGTTGAATTTGTTGTATCCTATTTCTGACCAAATATTTGATTTTTGTTCCTCCAAATATGTACAGTTTCAATCTTGAAATTTCGGTTTTTTTGTTTCTTTGCCATCATTAGAAATAAAGTAGAAAATATGTATGCTTTCATATTATAAATGGTTATATAAGTTAAAAGCTTACAAAAATATATGCATAACTGCCCAACAAATAGTTCTCTTAATATTTTGTCATGCCTTTTTCCAGTCTGTTTCACCTTTGTATATGAATTCTACCTATTATATCTGTAATACATACAACACTTACATACTGCCAAACATTATAAAAGGGGTTATTTTCATATAGCTGAATGATAATTTTTCTATCTCATCCTCTATTAGGATATTTAGGTTAAGAATTTTTTATTCTGTCACTGATCCTATTAAAACCACCTTTGTTCTCTAGCTTTGGACTGTTTTCTGAATGGTAAATTACTTGGCAAAAAAAAAAAAAAATCATACACTTTTAGGGTAAATAACATGTGCAGCCTCAATGTTTTACCAAAGGCACTGTATCGTTTAGAATGTTATCAGTAATATTAAAGAGTGCCATTTTTTACCACATCCCTGACAGTACTGTGTATAAGATTTTTTTCAAAATATGATTGTGATTTTTAGAAGTAAATAATGGTACCTCTTCATAATCTTTGACTGTTTTTCATTTAAATATTAGGGTGAAGAAGGAGCTTCCCAGGAAGGAATTCTGGAAGATATGCCTGTGGATCCTGACAATGAGGCTTATGAAATGCCTTCTGAGGTAAGAATTTATACATATAAAACTCCAAACAGAAAGCTTAAAAGTTCAAATTGGGCCTAATGATCAGTACCCCAAGTCTGTCACCTTCAGACTTCCCTTACCTCACTCTAGATGCACAAGTTGGCCAGAGCCAGGCCGCCTAGCATGTGGGCAGCTTGCAAGCTGTGAATCGTGTTTACATTTGTAAAGAGTTATTCTTAAAAAGGCAGCAGCAGTGACAGAGACCATATGTGCACCACATAGCCTAAAATATTTTCAGCCTGGCCCTTTACAGAAAGAGTTTGCTGATCCCTACATTAAAGAATTATTTTACTCGAAACTTTACCTTCTAAAACAAATCTCAAAATGGAAAGTTAAGAGAAATCAACTAATTACCAAGAGAACATAATTATTATTGACCATACATTTCCAGCTGGATGTGTGCATAGTAAAAGTAAATCAAAATTATAGAGTAGAAATATGATAAATGCATGGTTTTTAATAATGGATATATTTCAGTCTAGCATTCTAAACAGCATAATTTAAAGTTTCTTTAATAGAAAATGTTTCAGAAGGGAAATTAGAAAATACCTTTAGATGAATGACTGACTCAGGAAGAAATAGAAAATCTGAATAAATTCCTAATAAAAATATTGAATTATTAAAAAAGTAAAAATCTAGCCATGAAGAGAATTCCAGGACTAGATAGATGGCTTCACTGGTAAAATTTGCCAAACATTTAAAGAAATATCAACTAATTACAACTAATGTCAATTAACTTATCAAAAAAATAGAAGAGGGAGCACTAATTCTGTGAGAACAATATTATGTTGATATCAAAATGAGACATCACCATTAAAACCTGAGTTAAAGTGTATTATAGTAGGGTTATTCTTATGGCATTTTTAAAAAGTATATTGATAATCTCCCACTTGTATAAACAGACTAAATTGTTTTTTTCCTAATTTTACCAACATTCTGGGTTTTTTTTTTTTTATATTGGGTTGGCCAAAAAGTTCATTTGGGATTTTTCTGTATGATCTTATGGAAAATCCCGAGCAAACTTTTTGGGCTCACAATGCATGGCACAATGCTAAATACTACAGAGAATAAAAGAGTATTTGCTAGTACAAGAACACAAGGAGTTTACACTTTAGTATGTTTGATTAAAAAAAAAAACAAATGTATCCCTTCATTTATTTATCATGATACCCTTGACAAACAGTACTGCCTTTTATGCATGAGGCATCACAGGGACAAAAATATGCATCATGTACAAAGTTAGTCTTTTACAAGAATTTTTTTTTTTTATCAATCAGGGTAAGTTTTATAGAAGGGATGGTGGTGATCTGGGTGGGAAGGGGTGGGAGATGTGACAGGTCAAAATGAAGGAAGGACATTCTAGCACAAGAAAATCTCCAAGGCACACATGCCTGGGTATCCAGGTGGATATGTCTGAGGAACAGTGAGTAATTAAATGTGATTCAGGCTCTGAGAATAGTGACAGACGAAGGCTGCAGAGATTGGTACCAGATGACTTGTGAAATACTAGAAAAACCTAGCCATTTAAGTTTGTAATTTATTCAGAAAGCAGCTTGAGTATTGAAAACATGTTTGTTTTTTAGCAGGATCCTGATATTATTAGAGTTGTTCTTTAGGAGGACTGATTTGTCCTCTTTGGTTAAGACCGTTAATATTTTTATTGTATGTGTTATTCAAATATTGTAGGGGAAAGGAGGAGCTTTGAAATAGAAATAATTAAAGCTGCAGATGAAGATGAAATTTCCAATTGGGAAAGTAAAAGGAGAGAAAATGTGACTTGTCTTTAAGTGTCTTAATTTCTTTCTAAAAAATTACCTGATTTGGTTCTCACACTTTAGTTGAAGAAAATGAGAGTCAGGTAAGACAGACTAGCTACTTTGTTCTACAGGACCAGGTCATAGATTGTTAAACAGCACATCTGGAAGTAGAATTCAGATATCTAATTCTGACTACCACCCTAATTAATTCACTTTTGTATTTGACAGGCAGATGAAACTATTAAAAAGAAAATTGTATTGGATGTAGGAGAATAGTTCCAGAACTGTAGGACTGTATGCTTTTTTCAAAATGGCAAGCCATGTCCTATCCCATTTTCTCTGAAGCCCTTGATTACTGGTCACTTATACTAAACTTCATGTTGCCTTTCTGATTTTCCTTATACTAGGAAGGGTATCAGGACTACGAACCCGAAGCCTAAGAGATATCTTTGCTCCCAATTTCCTGAGACCTGCTGACAGATGTTCCACCCTGTACAAGAGCTCAGTTCCAACATGCCCAGTCATGACATTTTTCTCAAAGTTTTCACAGTGTGTTTTGAAGTCTTCCATCAGCAGTGATTGGATTATCTGTACCTGCCCCACCAACTCAGCATTTCGGTGCTTCCCTCTCACTGAATGAATGGTAGCAGGGTCTTTGTGTGCTGTGGATATTGTGGCTTCAAATATAAAATGTCAAAACAAATTAAAAACACCTAAGTGACTACCACTTATTTCTAAATCTTCACTATTTTTTTGTTGCTGTTGAAAAATTGTGAGTGATTTACTATCATAGATTATAAGATTTTATGGTGTCTTTTAATGATTCTAAAGAATAATGATGTATTGTGAAATTTGTTAATATATACAATACTTAAATATGTGAGCATGAAACTATGCACCTATAAATATTAACTATAAAATTTTACTGTTTTGTGGTATGTTTTATTAACTTGTGTTTGTATATAAATGGTGAAAATTAAAATAAAATGGTATCTCATTACAAAAATTTTATCCCCTTTCACTTTAATAAAACCATGCTTATAAACAAGGTGAAATAAGAACTAACACAACTAACTTAAAGTTCCTAACAGTCATTTGAAGGAGGAGGAATTTTAGAGGTGTTTAAAAAAGATGAGATGAAATTTTAACCCTTTAGTGAGGAGATTTCTTGAAGCAACACTGTCCAAACTTTGTTTTGATATGCACTAGTACCTTAAGAGGCTATACTAAAAAACTGGGTTCCCCTCCTACACTGTTGGTGGGGCTGTAAGCTGGTGCAGCCACTATGGAAAACAGAATGGAGATTCTTCAGAAAACAAAAATAGAAATATCATATGAACCAGCAATTGCACTCCTGGGCATGTATCCAGACCAAACTATAATTCTCAAAGATACATACACCCCTATATTCATAGCAACCATTCACAATAGCCAAAACACGGAAACAAATGTTCATTGACAAGAGGGATGAAGATGTGGTACATATACATAATGAAATACTACTCATCCATTAAAAAAAAAATGAAATGATGCCATTTGCAACAGATGGACCTAGAGATTATCATACTAAGTGAAGTAAGTCAGAGAAAGACAAATACGGTATGATATCAGTTATATGTGGAATCTAAAATAAGACACAAAGGAAACTACTGTTATCTATGAAACAGACTAATGTATTAATATGTAGGGAACAGACTTGTGGTTGCCAGGGGGAGGGTAGGACTGGGAGTCTGGGGTTATCAGATACAAACTATTATATATAGAATGGATAAACAACAGTATCGTACTGTATAGCACAGGGAACTATATTCAACATCCCGGGATAAACCATAAAGTAAAAGAATACACATACACACACACACACCCCTGAATCACTTTGCCGTACAGCAGAAACTAACACATTTTAAATCAACTGTACTTCAATAAATAAATAAAAACAAAAACTGAGTTCTATAGAATAGTGAAGTATAAGATAATTTTGATGATGTCCTCTTTAAATATCCATAAGGCATATTAGCACATTAAAGGCTCTGAGAGAACTTAACTTTAATCTAGCATTTTCTTTTTTTTAAAACAAATGTTCTTCCTTCTAGGAAATGTTTTAAACATCTCTGAACTACCAAAGAATTGCCTTAAGATCTCTAGATTTATGAAAATCTCCTGGATGCCTTTGAATTCTGCTAAATATATGAATTCCAGGATATATCTCTAGAAAACGTTTATTTCCTTCTTTTTTTTTCTTTTTTTTAAGTTAGGAAAGATATGTTAACTCCACATGGATACTGACGATAAACTTGCATGTCAAAAGACCTATACAAATCAATCTTTTGATTTATCTTTTTAATTATTCAGGAGAAAAATAGCATAGTCCCTTTAAAAAGTCACCAGTAGAAAACATAATTTTAAGAAACTATTCTAGAAGTGCTAGGCAGCTTATATGCAATCATGAGTAATTTGATGTATATTAGGCATTGGCAAGGAAGCAAGTTAGGACGAATATAATGATTATAAGCCTGATCACCAAAGAAAGTTTCCTTTTTGCATAATGGGAAACAGACTATAGAGAATGTTAAACTGCTGTATAGTCAAACTGGAAAAAAGTGGTAAGTCTCTTGTTTTTTTAGATACATTAATGAAGAAACCACATGGAAAATGAGATCTTTTTGTACAAGAAGCCTTCCATTCTAGCACTAATATGTACCTAGAAAATACCATGGGAAGATATACACCAATAGTGGTTATTTTGAACAAAGCACTTAAAAAGTAGTGCAAGGCACATAAGACTGGTCAGGAATCTCGTCTCATAGCCACTGCTGAGACGACTACCTGACAAGTGGCCTGATGGTTAGCTTGCTCTCAGGTTTATTTGCAGACCTCATGCCCCCAAATCTGGGTTATTTAACCTCATATGCTCCATGCACTTTAGCAAAACAGGTCAGGATGGGCTTTGGCCACAATTGGCAGTACAACAATTGAATATGTGGTTTGACATTCCAAGTCAGATCTTTTTCAAAAGCTCCCCACCAGCATGAGATATTAATATTCCCTATCCTGGCTCATCCAGTGGGTCCCTACTGGATCAGCACTCATGGCATGCATACACAGACACATACACTTCAAGGACAATCATAGTGCTTCCCACATCCATATTGAGGAAGAAAAACACAATTTTCTAACTGAAAACTTGACAGGCTCCTTGTATACTGCATGACTTCTTGTCTGGCATGAATTCATCCCACTGTGTTCTGTCTTGGGAAAGAGTACAACCGGGCTGGTACCTGCCTGTTTGCTCTATCCCTGGAATTTGAATTAGAGATGCTTTGTTTAATTACTATATGTCAAATATGGATGTGATTGATCAATAGGAACTTGATTTATTTTCAAAACAGCTCTAAGTTCCATTTGTCCTCACTTTATATATGAGCAAACAGGAGTACCTGCAGGCTAAGTAACGTTCTCATAGCCACAGAGCTGGGAAATGGCCAAAGCAGAAGCCCAATCAATATGGGGCCAAACTGTGCTTTCAGCCCCTACGCCACATCATTTCTCAGAGTGAGGATACACAAGTATGTCAGTATCTCACTGAAGTCCAGGGAATGGGGTAGTAGCCTTGCTTTTCTACATGTAATTATTACTATGTATCTAGTCTTCTTCAGGTATCTATGTCTAAAATAAGTGATACTCATACATATGGAGATTTACTTCTAATTCTAGGAGAAATCCAATAGCTCCTAATACCCTGATCAATCTTTCCTTATAACTAAATTATGCTTATCATGTCATTAGAACTGTTATTTATTTTTCAGTAGAAGAGAAAAATATCAACATAGTAACAGTAGACTATAGTAAGGCAGGCTTTTTCATCTTCTTATTGCATCATGGGTACTTAGCTTCTATCAAATGGCTAAAGTGCATATATAAAGTATAAATGTTTTCAGTTATATGTATTAATGGATGAATTTATAAATGAACAAACAAAAGTACATGAATAACATATTTTTAAATTATATAAGCCTTGATTTTCTAAGTGTATTTGTGATATAGTAATGTTATATTTTATTCTTTGAGTAAGCTAACTTTCAAAAATCAAAATGCAGTAGAATAGCTATAACACCAAAACTATTTCTAAATTTTATTTTAGCTTCAATGTCTCCCATTTAATTATCTAAGATTTTATGTTTCTTTTCTACTGCATTTGATTATTTTAAATCCAGTGGCACAGATGGCATATTGGAAGCAGTTAAAAAACATTCCTTCAAAAAGTCCAGTTTGAGCCTCTAGTAGGTTTTGCTGATATAATATAATACTTCTTAAATCAGATAGGATTGCATAGGGGATTTTGAAAGTTGATCCTGCAAATACAGTTAATATTCCTCAGTAGCTCTTCTTATGAACCTTATGAAAACGTATCCTCAGATTCCCTTAAAGGTCAGTGACCAGAAATCCCCACTGTTTCTATGGCAACACAGCAAGATATGGTGCCTTGGAAAAGTGCTGCATTTTAATTAGGTTCCTCTAGGGTTTCCTAACTGCTTTTTGCAGGTGAACTAAATACCAGGTTGCTTTATGTCTTGCCGTGAGATGAAAGCTAGACCATCTGTAAATGTCAAAGCAAAGCTGGGCTCCAGTAAAGTCAAATCTAAACAAATATAGTGGCAAGTCTATGTGTTTATCTTAGAGAAGAATACAATATTCTTTACCTAAAATAATCAGGGGTGCTTGCTTAATTAGCTTGGCAGCAGTAGTAGTGAGGATCCTGGAGTCTAAAACTAGACTATATAGGTTTGACTCCCAGTTATGTTATTTACTACCTGTGTTACTTCGAACAAGTTACATAAGCTCTTGGTGTTTCTGTTTTCCTGTCTGTAAAAATGCAGAAGACAGTAATAGTACCTCAAAGCAGTGTTGTGTGGATTACGTGAGTTAATGTAAGTAGAATGCTTGGGACTATGACTTACCTATGATAAGTGACCAATGAACCAGTGATGCTACTAGTAGTAGTGCAAGTAGTGGTGGTGGAGCACTATATTTTTAAATGTAAATAAATAAATATTTTAAATATTTAGGTATATTCCAAATTTATATCCTAATATAAAAGCTATACTAGCCAGTGCAATCTTGAAAAAGAACAAAGCTGGAGGCACCATACTCCCTGACTGTAAAATCATAGCAGTCAGAACAATACGGTACTGGTATAAAAACAGATAGATCAATGAAATAGAATAGAGATCTCTAAAATAAATCTGTGCATATAAGGTCAGTTAATCTACAGCAAAGAAGCCAGGAATATACAATGGTGAAAGGACAGTCTCTTCAATTAATGATGTTGGAAAAACTGGACAGACACATGCAGAAGAATGAAACTGGACTACCATCTTACACTATACACCAAAACTAACTCAAAATGGTTGAAAGAATTGAATGTGAGACCTGAAACCAT